TTGTCTCTCCATGTTTTTTTTAGCACGAGCGTCACAGCAACAACGTGACCCGCGCCATCAACAAAAACCACACCATCAGTGCACAGCAATCCCGTTCAACAACCCTTGGTTCCCTTTCGCGGCAAGGTTATGGGGGGCGTCAGCGAGAGCGGCCTTGGAGTCGTTCCTGGAGCCGGGGAAACCGATGTTAGCAGCAGTAGCGGATCGCCTGCTGCGGCAGCCGTCTTCTCAGGAGAGGTGAAGACCTCTAACTCCGGAGGGTTTGTGTCAATTCGCACCCGGAATGCGTCTCCGCCGCTGGATCTGTCGGAGTACGATGCCCTGAGGCTGAGGGTCAAGGGGGACGGCAACCGGTACAAGTTCAGCATGTGAGAGAGAGGGGGGGGGGGGGGGGTTCGATGGTGTTTGTGCCGCGGCTGGTTTGTTCTTGTGGTTTGCTGGTTTGGGAAGGTCGGTGTTGGCGATTTGGTGTTTTGTGATGTGTTGGCCGCTCGGGCGGGGTGTTAGGTCGAGCTTCAACGGGAGGTGATGATCTACACCACAATGCGCTATTGGTCTCATTGTCTTGGAATTCATGATGTATGTGGTAAATCTCCGCCAGAACATCACACAAGAAGAGAGCACGCGGATACTTTCAGTTCAACACCACGTCGCAAGCACACACCGATGTACTGCTAACGTCGACCTCGACGCCGACCTGTGTCTTTCCCATCTCTAACCCCTCTTTTCTGAGTTTGTTGTTGTCCGGCGACCTGACCGGCCGTCTGTTTTTTGGTATGTTCCATGTATGATATGGTATGTACCACGGCACGCAGCTACGACTCCCCCGGTTGGAACAGCAAGGCGTGGTGCGACACCTTCGACACCGTGAAGGGCGAGTGGATCGACGTCGACATCCCCTTCACCACCCTCAAGTGAGTCACACACAGACAGAGACAGACAGAGAGAGAGAGAGAGAGAGAGAGAGAGAGAGAGAGAGAGAGAGAGAGAGAGAGAGAGAGAGAGAGAGAGAGAGAGAGAGAGAGAGAGAGAGAGAGAGAGAGACAGAGACATACAGACAGAGACATAGAGAGGCAGAGACAGACAGAGACAGAGAAAGAGAGACAGACAGACAGACAGACAGACAGACAGACAGACAGACAGAGACAGAGAAGAAGAGAGAGACAGAGACATACAGACAGAGACATAGAGAGAGAGAGACAGAGAAAAGAGAGCGAGAGACAGACAGACAGACACAGACACACACAGAGAAAAGAGAGATGGTGACAGGGACAGAGAGGCAGAGAGTGAGACGGACTTTTCGCTTCGCTGAGACTCCAGCGAGAGACGGCTGTATCGGGCGTTATATGCATGGCTCTTTGTTCCCGGAAGTTTTGGAATGTTTCGAAACTAGAAAAAAATTCCGAAGTTTTCGAAATGTTTTGAGGTAGAAATTTTGTAAAATCAGCCATGTATACACCCCTAACGGTTTTGACTGGCGCCTGGAAACCGTCACCTTGCGCTACAGCGGTACCAGTGCTCACCTGGTCCACACCTTTCTATTGCACCCTAGCCTTGCCCTTTTTTATGCACCCGGTCCTTCACCTTTTAATGCACCCCAGTGTGACTGTTTATGCACGCCATCTTTCACCTTTTACATGCATCCCGACAGCCTTCACGTATTTTTAAACCCCAGCCTTCATCTGTTTTTGTGCACTCGAGCCTTTTTTGTTAGCACCGTAGCCCTTAGCCTCTCGAAACCCACACTAAACCTGATGTGATTTCCTTCCGGCTGCTGTGTTGTATTGTGTTGTGTTGTGTTGTGTTGTGTTGTACAGGTACAACTTCCGCACGGAGTCCATCAAGGACCCCCCTCCGTTCTCTCCAAACTCCATCAACTCCTTCCAGCTGATGCTGTCCAAGTTCGAGCTCGACGGGAAGCTGAACCCGAACTTCTCGGCGGGACCGTTCGAGTTGACCATCGCCTCGATTAAGGTACAGTGCAGTGTTTCGGGCCGTCTTCCCGAGAGAATAATTTCATGAGGAAATAGAACAAGGAGCTGGTACGACACCCTATCACAAATCCAATTTCCCCGAATGCCTCCTTTGTCCAACCTATTTCCCGTATGATCGAAAGAAACTGCGAATGCTGCTGGACTGTTAAAACAGGCCGTGTCGATCGAGACTAGTGAGGAGATGCAGAACTCGCGATTTGTCCACCTTAGCTCTGCGGGAGTTACAAGGCCAGGAAGGCCGGATCTCGACATGGACACAGAACCACCGGCGGTAAGGACCCGCATTAACGTATTAACGTATTAAAGAAGGCCCAAAATTCAAAATCGGAAATCGAAATCGAGCTGTGATTGGTAAAAGACCAAAGTACCGCCGTTGGGTGTTTTCCTCGGAGGACGTTTCTTTCGAAAAAAATATTGCCATCATTTTTTTTTTTTCCCCGGCCAACAGAGTCGATTTTGACTTTGATTTTTGGACCTTCTTTAAAATACGGACCCCAAGGAAGAGGAGGAGTGGCAAATTTCCATTTTGACTGCACGTGGCACGCGGCCTGGATAGTGTTATCACCTGGCTGTGCGGTGGCTGCCGAACAAGCGCGTTGTTTGTTGTGCGTGGCATGTGCTTGTCTTGTCCAAGTCTCTGGCGTTGTTGGCGGGGCGGCTGCCGAATGTCATGCATGTTGTGTATAGCCTGGTCTTGAAGTTCTGTGTGCGGTGTTTGTGTGTTTTACGCCGAGGCTACTCTCACGGCCTCATGATGTGTAATGTACCCCCGGCCGGTCACCGAGCAAGACAAACACACACACACACTTGCATGCATAGCCCATGCTGACGGTTGCGTACTGACAAGTCTTGTTGATGGATGTATGTCAGGGTTGTAGTCGCCATATCCGCCGCGTTCACCCAATCGAGACAAGTGCTCGTTTTTGTAGCTTTTAGGCACGCCGTATATCCCTCTATGTACAAACTTGTGTCTAGCTTGGTCGTCAATACATGCGCGGTTTCCATACAATTGTATTGTCGCAGCAACAACCACACATATATGCATACCACGTGTGTTCCCTGGTGCTGTGGGGCCGACCCAACCAACCATTTTTGAAGCCATGGGCACCTCAATGCAACTACATTTTCTGGTTTCTCTGGTTTCTCTGGTTTCTCTGGTTTTTCGAATAACCAAGGTGCGCATGAACGAGATGCTGTCGCACTTGCTTACCTACAAGCTCAAGGGGGAGGATGTGATTCGCGACAGCGGGATACCGGCGACGATCATCAGGCCCTGCGCTCTCACCGAAGAGCCTGCCGGGGCGCCGATGATCGTTGGCCAGGGCGACTACCTCAAGGGCAAGATTAGCAGGTGAGCATCGTTAGCCGGGGTGATTATGTACTTCAACGAAAACATTAACAGGAGATGATCGTTTCCCAGGGTGACTATGTACCTCAACGGAAAGATTAGCAGGTGGGCATCGCCAAGTGGGTAAGCTTTGCAGGCGAGTATCGTTGGATGACTTGTATGTACATCAAGCGTAGGATTAGCAGGTTGGCGGCGTTAACGGGCTCTGCCACCGAACACGAGTCTGCGGGGCGGCGTCGCGGGTTGTTCGTTGCAGAGAACGGACCACGTTGTATCCATGCGTAAACTAAACTAAACCAGACATTTTTTGTTTTCAGTCGTCCCCGCCATACGACCACTCGTACTTTTTCTTGAAACCAGGTGTCCTTAAGGGCGGGAAGTGTCCTTAAACGTATCCCCCCGTGTTTGGTTTTTACGTGCTGTTGTCCATAAAGAGGGGAATTTCCCTCAGTTTTGTTTTTGTGTGGTTAAAAGCGAGGACGACTGTGTCCCAACACCCTCTCGAAACGTTTACTGCTGTGTTATCAAGACCCTGCCGACAAAAATCGTCTTTGCTGATGCGTGTCGCGTCCCAACAGGGACGACATAGCAGAGCTGGCGGTTTCATCCCTCTTGACCCCAGAGGCTAGTGGTCTAACCTTCGAGGTCAAGTCGGACCTGGCCTTCAGCACGCTGTGGCAGGGGGCCCCGCAGGGGGCCCCGGCTCGATCATATGGGTGAGACCCCGAACACAGATGTGTAGGTGACTTTTACCTACCGTATGTGTTGTTTTTTACGCTGGCCGCTTGTAGGCTGCTGCGATGGCCATGTATGACGTCATCATCACTAGAGGATATCTCCTCCAGGTGGAAAAGAAGAGGCGGATGGTGTGCATGAATAGCGTACCTGGTTATAGTCTAGGAGATCCTGGGGAGCTACTGCTGTATGTAGATAGATGTTGACCTGTCAAGGATTCGGCCGCGTTCCTTGTGTGCAAGACCATCAAGAGAGGTCACCTGCGGTGGGTATGAATAGGTGCGTGTGTTCGTGCCCATCCCATACATTCTGGCTCCTGTGTACCATGGTGCGTACCATGGCACCAACGTCTTTTCGGTGTTCATTTTGACGTACAAGCAAGGGTGACAAAGGAGAACAGGAAGACAGTTTCGTGTCAGAGTGACGAACAACAGAAAACAATATTTAGTGCTGCTGCCAGTACCGCCGAAACACTCAAGCATCTCGCTAGGTACAGCCTCCAAACACCCCCTTCATAGCACCGAACCCCCCTCGTCTCCGCCCGCGCCGTCCTCCTTCCCTCCCTCATCCGTCGCTACCGCTGGTTGTCCCATCGCGAGCAGGGACATCCTCGGGCCTCTGGAGCAGGGGGTGACGGGAAAGGAGTGGATGGGCGACAGGACTCCGGAGGAGGCGCAAGGGGTGACAGCGGAAGTTGCGCCGCAAGAAACGTAACCAACCGTCGTCGTTTATGCGAACCGTAACGGGCCGCTGGCGCAGGGGGTTGGCGGACAAGGAGTGGATGGGCGACAGGACTCCGGGGGGAGGCGCAAGGGGTCACCGCGGAAGTTGCGCCGCAAGAAGCGTAACCGTCGCCGTTTGTGCGAATCGTAACCCCGCTTAGCAAGAGGAGACGGCGGGCAACCGTTTTTTGTGCGAAATCCGTTGTTGAAAATCCGAGAGAGCTGGGATCTGCCGCTGCTGTAAAAACCGAGGTTGATGTTTTTGGCAAAACGGCCTTGACCAGTGTGTGGGTGTGTTGGTGGAATGCGATGTTGTGAGCGCAGCCGCCGTTTGCGCTTGACGCGTGTTCGGTGCCAGGCTGGCGGGGCGACAATCGCAACTAGTCTGCAGCCAGCGAAATGTGTAAAGTTGGCTGATCTAATCCGCAGGCGCCGACATGCACGTGTTGTGTGGTGTGGTCGGTTGCCTCCTATGGAAGTGCGTGTGGGAAAATAGGTGGAGCGAAGCGGGTACAATCGTGGGCTGTTTTCTGTCTTCAAGGGATTCCACCCAAAATATCGTCCATTGTTTTGTGCGCCATCAGACATACACGCCCGGTCAATGGCTAGTTTTTGTTGCGAAGGAAGGCGTGTTTCGATGCATGAGAATTGCCGGGTTTCTGTAGATGTAGAGAGGACCTGGTCTATTTTTCGACGCGGGATACCGTGAGAGCGATACTCCCCCCCCCCGGTTACAATAAAGCTAGCGCACGGTGCCCCTTCGTCGTTAGGCTTGCTGTTCATGTTGATGTTTGACAGGTTTGCTTGGGGCTGGAGACTGCTACCTACGTACTTCGTAGATTACCCGTGCGCTGTTCGTTACGACGTGTCACGCAAGGCTTGCTCGCCCAATTAGTTTAGGAAATAAATATCTCTGAATCTCAGTACAACATCTCTGCAGCAACGCACAAGGAGCGTTTTAAATTAGTACCGAGTTGACGTGATATTGGGCCACCGGGCCTGTATTGCAGTACGAGTTACTACAGCCCAATTATCGAGTAACACACAGCGCCTCGAGGACTAGAGGGGGTCGGCACGGCCTGTAGGTCAAAGGGCGTGACAGTGAGACTACGGCCGTACACTTGTCGGGTAAACAACGAACAACCCTCTCTATACCCTTGCAGGCGCTGTTCGTTTCTCGAGTGCAAAAGAATAGCGGGGGGTCGACAAGGGGCATCGGTGTGTTCCTATTATAGCGTCATTTCCAAAACACGGACGAAAATGACAAGCGAAAGGCAAGAAACACTTCCTCCCCTGTCACAAAGACCATCTGGTTATGATTGCACCGATAGACTAGCGGCGAGGATAACAACACCGAAAAAAAAAAAAAAATACTGGAGAGCCTCTCCTGCGCCCGCAAGAGGGTCAACTTGGTTTGTTCCTGCTTGCTGTTCCATGACAAAATTCAGCAAAAATGTAGCGCCCCCCTCTGCAAAAAAAAGAATGCGGGGATACCGGTTGCCCCACTCCCCACCTTGACACAATCCCCATTCATTTGCAAGCAGTAACGTGCTTCTCCGAAGTCCTGAATCCTGCTTTGGTTTCACTGTCAGCTAACTTGTCGATCTCTTGTTGATGGAAGCCGCGTGATACCCCCCCCCCCCCAAACACATAACACCACGATACAGAGAGTCTTGTCCTCTCTCGTTCCCACTTGCTCGACGACCTAACAAAAGTTCAATGCCGCTTACAACTCTGCCAGACCAAGCTGGCGCTCTGGTCTGGACCCCCCCCCCCCCCCAAAAAAACCCGGG